GGGATCTTTTTAGAACAGGCGGCACAGCTTTTAAAAGTAACTTTAGGTGAAGAGGGTGCCTTGGAGGCCATAAAAGAAAAAAAGGCGGGAAAAAAACAGTCCAAGAAATAAGGGGGGAAAAAAGGGGTAGGGGAGCGAGGGAAACCCTCAGACACAGTCCAAAAACTCCCCTAATAATAAAACGAAGTAAGTACTTCCCTTGAAGCAAGAAAAGCGGAGCCAAATCTCAGGAATCTTCCAGATCTTTCCAATATTTCACGGAGCTCTAGCTAGGAGACCTAACTGCAGCAGCGGAAAAAATGGAACTGAATGGCTGTTAGGGCGGACGGACCATGAGGTCCTGGGGGGGTGGAGCCAAAAGTGTTACTTTAAGCTCTAGAATGTTCCGAGGCCTTCTGCGCAAGCGCAGATTAACCCATTAGTGTGATTTCACAGAGTCCACGAAGAAGAAGCAATTGTGTCCCCCCACACCAGGTTAAAGTGCAATTTTCCAGTTTGGGCGATAGAGAGATGCTGTCCTTCAAAGTCAGGGGAAAAGTAGAAATGGCCAGTGGACCCTCAAAAATTGCCCAGCTTATGTCTGGACTTTGAAAGGAGTTTAAAATACTTATTTTAAAGGAGGTCTTAAATCACAGCTCCCCACAGATAATTTATAGCTCATACAGTGTTATGTGTTGCTTTGATTGGATTAGGAAGTGGAAGAAAGCAGACTTTAAGAAAGTCAGGAAGTGCCAGTGTGTAAAAGGTGGAGACTCCCCAAATCCCTTTCAACAGATGGACTTTGCAGGAAATTTAAGAGTATAAAGAACACTCTATCCTGGTCATTAGGTCTCTCTCTCTAACCAATCTTTCAAACAAAATGAAGGCATTTTAAGCCAAAATTTGAGTGGAACAGGTAAGTCACTAGTGTTCTCTGACAACAAAAGAGACAGGTTTGGGTAGCTGCCTAGTATCCTGATGTTGTGCACTGCTGCAAAACAACACATGGAACTTTATACTTCTTTTGGCTAATTTTAGATTATGCCCAAGTCATAAAAGCATGATGCTTTATGTCTTTAGTGTAAGGTATGAAATGATGTCTGGATTATTATACCAGTTAACCGAGCAGGAAAATCCATTTCTACTAAACAGCAGCATGTATAAATACACAAAAGTTGTAACTGAAGTTCTAAAACCTTTGCTAAAAATGTTTGAGCATCAAAACTTCCTATTTTTTTATTATTGTTATGGTGATGTATTATACTACAGTGCAACTTTCAAAATGCTTTCCACAGCCTCTGGGCTACTTCAGAGAATGTTGATATTCCTTTTAACTGTCTCAATCTCCTCAAGTCCCTGAATTACAGCGTAGCATCCACTAAAGCTCCAAATGCTAGAAATGTACGTACCTTCTGTGTGAGATGACCTAAAGCAAAGCAAAGCAAAGCAAAGCAAAGCAAAGCAAAGCAAAGCAAAGCAAAGCAAAGCAAAGCAAAGCAAAGCAAAGCAAAGCAAAGCAAAGCAAAGCAAAGCAAAGCAAAGCAAAGCAAAGCAAAGCAAAGCAAAGCAAAGCAAAGCAAAAAGGATAGAAGGCTGAGTCAACCTTGAGCCGCTACCTGGGATTGAACCCCAGGTCGTGAGCACAGTTTTGGCTGCAGTACAGCAATTTAACCACTGCGCCACGAGGCTCTTCATAGGTATTTGTTAATTTTGACATAGGATGCCTAATTTTGACATAGGATGATTAGTCATTGAGAAAGAAACCAGAAGATTTAATGCTTTGTGATAGAAGTACAAGATACAGGCAGTCAAATGGAGGGCTATGGAGAACAAATGGCTCATTTCAAAAATCCATGTCTGAAACCAAAGATGGCTGGCATCTTTGAGCCCAGAGGTTTTCGAATGGTCTAACAATTTGCTTGTGCTGTTTTTTATCTTTCTTGTGTCCTCAACAGAAACCGGCTACTTTTTGCACTTCAATACTAGTACTGGAAACCCGGGGGACCGAGCTGTTTTAGAGAGCCGGTTTCTGTATCCAAAGCGAGGATTCCAGTGTCTTCAGTTCTATTATTTTAACAGTGGAAGTGAAGGGGACCAGTTGAACATCTTAGTCAAAGAGTACACTGAAGAAAACCCCAATGGCACTTTGAGGCTTGTCGGAACAATACAAGGTATGAAACAGGTATTCTCACTGTGCATTGGTTCTTGTTCAAGTTCACACTGGATGGAAATAGTACCACGTCAGATTACAGGATGGGGATCCAAATTATTGCATGCTTCTGCATACATTAAAGCAGAAGACAACAAACTCACAACAACTCTCTCAAAGGCAGGGTTGAGTTCCACCAAGAAAGCAACAGGAACCCAGACCTGAATCAATATGCTTCCCATTACTTTTTTAGACTGTGGCCTGGTATATGAAGCAGTTCCAAAGGCAGATTTTCTATGAAGTGCATTATAGTAGCCTAGCTCTGAAGAAATGATGGCAGCAGAGCATCTTAGCTAGACTAATAATCTAAGGATGATTCTGCAGCACAAATTGTAGCATGTCTTTGCACTCACTGTAAAGATCTTCAGCAACTGCAGTGTAACCTGTAGCAGAAAGAGCCAGGCATAGTGCAGTTCCTCCAGTGACTTTTTACTGAAATTCAATTGTTCTGTCTCATTTATGTCGTTGTTCCTGATTCCACTGTGTACCAGAAAGATGCTCAGTATAAATTTCTGTCCCTCAAACTCTTGCCTAGCATCATTCAATTCAAGAATCTTTAAAAATCAGGAAAATGCCTTCCCTGAATATAGGAAACACTACATCCTTTAAATAGCAACATATATTTTTATTTATTTCTTTTTTTATTTATTTAATTTTATTAGATTTATACCCCGACCATCTAGACAGATAGTCTACTCTGGGTGGCATAACAAAGTTTAAAAACAATAAAACCAATAACATACGAAAATCCAAGATGTAAAAATATAGATATTAAAATACAGCAGGAGGGAAAGCCTGCCTAAATAGCCATGTCTATACAGTAAAGATAAAAAGAACCATAGGAGTTCAAGAGTTTAAGAGAAAACATTCTGGCCTTGTCCCTTGGCAGGGCAACAGGGATCACGGGGAGTCTGTCCCACTGCCTTCTGCAGAAGACGTTATTGGCAGAGAGAGACCTATCTGATTACATATATTACCTACCATAGAAGGAATATCACCAGGGAGGTTGCTGTTCTCATTTTTCGTTTGCTAGAAAAAACACCTGTAAAAACTTCATAACTAAGAATTGATGCCTTTCCCTCTCTCCTCCCTCTCTATCCCTTTACCTTTTGTGTTGTGTCTTCTAGATGGTAAGTTTCAGGGAATGGACTCTCTTATTACTAATCTTTATACAGTATACTCTTTTAGGAGTCTTTTTATGGGTGAAAACTAGGAAGCCAGAGTTCTGTAAAGAGTCAAACTATTTATTTTAAATTTCATAGGGATTGTAAATCTCTGTTTCTGTATTACTGAAATAGATTGTACATCTTTTTTTAAAACAGATTGTTGTTGCAGAAAATACAAATATATATATAAAATAGATTGTGCATCTAATACACTATGATTCTTCTCCAGGTTCACCTGTGGGCTACTGGGAGTTACACCATGTTTCTTTGAATGTTATGAGTAAATTCAGAATAGTTTTTGAAGGTGTAAAAGGATCTACTGCATCAAATGGAGGTTTTTCTATTGATGATATCAACCTGTCAGAAACGGCTTGCCCTCACCACGTTTGGCATATAAGGAATTTCACTCATCTCCTTAATTCAAGCCCTTTGGGATTGGAAGGAAAGTTATACAGCCCACCATTTTACTCTCCTGAAGGCTATGCATTTGAGGTGTCTATATACGTGAATGGTAGTACAACTCCATTTAATTTAGCAATGTATGTTTCTTTGATCTCTGGGGCAAATGACGATTTTCTCCAGTGGCCTTGTGCATGGCAGCAGGTTACAGTAGTTCTACTTGATCAACATCCAGACATCCGTCAACGTATGTCCAATGTAAGAAGCGTAACAACAGATCCAACATATGTCCAAGGTAAGTAACATAACAACAGACCAAACCCTTAATCAGTTTTCCCTAGCTGATGCCACTAAAATCCAGGATACTATTTTCATTGTTTACAGATTTTCTTGAGCCTTTTTAACAAGCTGCTAGTGAAGGAAATACAAAAGGTAGCAAGGAGACCACCTTGGATAATAGAAAGACTTACCTTCTGTTAGTGAAGTTTGATCTGCAGCAATTTACTTTCTTAGCCAATGGTTTTATCTGGTAGATGATGGAGAAAGAAATGTCTGAGGCCTGAAGATGAACCGTGCCAAAATGGATTCCTTTGTGCTCCCTTCTCCAGCTATGTAGGGCTAGATTAGAATTTTGTGTCCCTTAGGCTAGGACTGGGCACTCCGGAAATTCTTGGACAGTAACTCCCATAAGTTTTTGTCAGCATAGCCAGTGGTGAGGGATTTTGGTGATTTCATGGGTTCTATATAGCAGTACTCAGGTTGCCCAGCTTTCAAGTGCTGCCCTTGCAGCTACTGGAGGTAGTAGTCCAGTTTGGACAGCCATTATGCTTTGATGTCCTGGGCCTGGCAATTAATGGATTCCCTGAGTATTCTTAAAAGTCCAGATTACATTGTATTGCCATCATATTAAGATGACAATGGCGCATGATTCATTCCAACATTTTCAGGAAAAGAAACAATATTTGCAATTTTCTGGAACCCCCACCCCCTTCTCCATAAACCTGAGAGTTATGTTTACTTGATGTTCCTTTTTCTCTGCAGAATCCTCGGGTGAATATTTATGGGATAGACCAAATAAAGTAGGAACAAATGCCTCTTTCCCTAATGGTACTCAATTCATGAGAGGTCCTGGATATGGGACATCTGCCTTTTTAACACACGAAAGGTTAAAAATACGTGACTTTATAAAAGATGATGGTGTTTTCATTCTGATAACAACAGAAGGTATGTGGGATTCATCACAAGTCCAGGAATTGTAACATATACCTTTACTATCAAGGCTGCAAAATTAAGCACAAGCCATCCTTGTGTATTCACAGTAGTGGATGGGAGTGTGACTAGCTATCTTCTGCCATATGCCTATTTTCTGGTGTGTCGTAGAAGACTCTATGGGGCAGGGGCTGAGACTACTGGACAATCCCAAATGTTCATGATGTCACTGTTTGGGAAATACCAGCCTTAGATTTGGGGTATGCAAAACCACTTAGGATTCTTCATATTCTAGTACGCTGCTGGGTGTCACTTAGCTACTCCTAGGAAGTGATGGCAGATCTGATATTAGAATAGCCACAGGAAAACTTATAGGGACATCTTAGATCTCCCCATTCCAAATGTGGAATCCTATTTCTCATACCAGGTTATCCCAATATCCATAGGAATGCGTCCTAAATATCTAAGCTCTGAACCAGCCTGAATGTGTCGAATTTTATCTGATTTTGGAAACTAAGCAGAGTCATGCTTAGTATTTGGTTGTGAGATTTCCAGGGAAGGGCTGAACTGGGGAGCAGCCATCACCCAGTGGTAGAGCACATGTTTTGCATGTTTAGGGTCCCAGGTTCAATCCCCAGCACCTTGAGGTAGGGCTAGGAAAGAATCCTGCTGAAATCCTAGGATATTGTTGACAGCCAAAGTTAGTGATACATATACCAGTTGTCCTTAATCAGTACAAGGCAGTTTTCCAGGTTTCAAAAAAAATATAAAGTCTATTTTAATTTAAATGAAATAGCACAAAATGCTTTATAGTGTATTTGCTGTGATTAAAAAATTGATGTTATTCTTTCTTTATGCATGTTAGATATATCACATTTAATATCAACTGAACAAAATTTTACCACCACCCAGACACCACATCAAATGACAACCACTGATGTGTGTGCAGCATATGGCTGTCAAAATGATGGAATATGTATTGTTGTTGATGGAAAGCCAGTATGCAGGTAACTAATCTATGCAGTATCTTATGGCTAGCCACTCAGAGAGTTACTCCTCTGAGGACATTTTTTTTAGATTAGGAAAAACTGTTACAAATTTTTGTCAACAGGTGATGAGAAAATGACAGATCTGAGGTCCTGGTCCCTTGCACTGCCAAGATATTTTAAACTTTCCAGAAGATGGATGTTAACCAAATTCAGCCTCTTTTGTTCAGCATTTTAGGCATCATTATGTGTTCTCAACGAATAATGTATATCAGTGATTCCCACATTATGGATTTATGCCCTTGTTAGATTTTGAGAACCCTTCATGCCTCAGTACCTCTTCTTTCCCATCATCAACCTCCTTTTAACAACAAAAACAAAATCAATAAAAGATTTAAAAAATGCAAAATCTTAATTAAAATTATTTTAGCTTAAAAATGAACATAAACAGCTTTTAATGAGGCATCCTAAATTCTAGTAATGATGATGTTTATCACAGAAAGTGGTTTCAGCTAATTTAAGAAATCTGCATGGAAATCTCAGTGTGGCACCCCTCTTTGGAGGCTGGGGTGGGGGTGTGTCTTTTTTTTCAGAAATTTCTGCCACCAGGATGACATGGGACAATGGTAGCAATTCCTGGTAATTCCTGTGCCCCACTCACCAACAACTTCCCTATGATAAAGAGGATTCGCTCCATGTGAGCCTCAGGGCCTTTGAGGATGGGGGATTTTTATTCAGCTACTGTCACTGTAAAAATACAAGTAACTTTTACATGGTTTTTACCTGCTTGACATAATTATGTGTAAATAAATAAATAAATATATGTAAATGGATAGGAAGTTTAAAATTTTACTTCCTCACATGCTTAATCTAACTTGCTTCAACTGTTCCTTTCCAGGTGCCCTGTAGGTGTGGACTGGTGGTACACAGGGGATAAATGTGAAACGAAGGGGACAAAGGAAAACACTGTCATCATAGCAGTTGCCTCATCTCTTTCTATATTTGCTGTCATGTTGATTATCACTGTTGTAACTGCTTGCTGTATCAAAAAGAAATATAGGAAAAAAATCAATGCAATTAACAACCTGAAGTTTCAGAATGTAAGTATTCCAGTTGTGACTGTATAAAAACATATAGATGTGTTTGGAAGAAAAATATGTTGTCTTTACCCATCTATTTGCTGACATGGTTTTAGGAAAGTTGGTGCTGGAAGATGATAGAGCTCTGAAACTTCAGCACAGGTTTTCCATTAACTTTTCTTAGCTTTATGCTGTGGCCTTTATTCAGTGTTACTCTTTAATCCATACCTGCAACTCAGCTGTTCTTGCTTGGTAGGCCTGTGTTTATGCTCATTGTGGCTCAAAAGAGGCAACACTGATAAGGTCACACCTGTTAGATCTGCTTTTTGAGGAGCCTGCCAATCTGCATAATACTCCATTATCAGCAGGCTAGCTTTATGGAACATGCCACATCTTGTACCTCTTATTTTCTGAATGCCTGATTTGCAACCCCTCTCAAACTGCCTGCCAGCTATTTTGTAACTGGAATATGGCATAAAGTTATTCACCGTGTCTAAGAAATCCTGAACAAGCTGTTATGAGATGCTTAGGTTAGGCATCCTTCAGTCTCGAAAGACTATGGTAACGTGCTCTGTATGGAGGACTTGGAACAAGTACACTGCATACTTGCCCTACACGTTTCCCACAGGGAACTAAATTTAAGAGCACCCCCACACTTCTCACCTACAAGATGAAATGTTGAGATAGAGTAAGTATTTCTGATGAAGTAGTTATCAGTTTGAGTTTCTGCAACTGAAATGTGAATCAAATATTAAATTGCACTAGATTGCCTCAAACACTACCACATTCTGGTTGTTCTGGGTTTTTCGGGCTCTTTGGCCGTGTTCTGAAGGTTGTTCTTCCTGACGTTTCAGCGGTCTCTGTGGCCGGCATCTTCAGAGGACTGGAGTAAGAACTCTGTCCATGCTCTGTTGGTGTTTGTTGGATAGTATTTATAGCTGTGGGAATGGCTTTTTGTCTTTTTTCAGGAGATAGGGTGATTAGCATGTTTTTGTTGTGATGAGGGAGGGGGGAGAGGAAGAGATTATCTGTCACTGTGGTTGATGGGTGTCGTTAGCTGGTCTTTTTTTTGTGAAATGATCTCTGACCCTTGTGGCCGAGTAAGAGTTCATTGACCTTTTGCCTTCCCAAATACACTACCACTTTCTGCATGTGATATGCATAATTATCTAATGATTTTGATAACTAGCACTGTATAATATTTGTGTTTTTCCTTGTTCAACAGGCATCAGCTTTTTGAAGATGGAGGAAGTTTGGCAAACAAAACAATCAGGATCTTCAGTTATGATACTTTGACACCTTATTCGAAATATCACCTTCAGTGTGATTTCTTTTCAGCTGGCCACCAAGTATTTGGCATACACTAACAAAAGCAGATCAGCAACACACAGTTCCCACTGCTTTTCTAATACCCCCCTCCCAAAAAAAAAAACCCTGAGTAATTTCTCCAGGAGAGAAGATGAAATGTGTAAGGCAGGCAGATATCTCTACTACCACTACGTAGTTTGTAAGATGAATTAGATAAAGCAGACCCTCCCATTACAAACAATGATCTAGGGTAGGGTCTTGCATCCTAAATTTCCCGTTATTGCCTCCTATAATCTTTAACTTGCTCCTAAAAACAAAACTTGTTCTGAGCTTTAACAAAATAGCTTTCCAGGGGAGAGAGAGGGTGCAAAATCATGTACATAGCAGAGGCATTTCCTCTGAAAAGTTGCAGGCAATATTACCTTGACTGATGAATAACAAAATGGGGGAAAGAGTCTTGTTATTGAGGTTGGTCTCTATTATCTTGCTAGCACTCCATAACGGAATTATACAAGTAAGATGAGCAAGGAATGATATCTGTCAATGCACTGTTATTGTCTTATGCTTTAATATATGGAAGCATTCAATATACATTTAGACAACCACCCGGCAGATATCCTTTGATTTGTTTTCCTGCACTGAGCAGGGGATTGGACTCGATGGCCTTATAGGCCCCTTCCAGCTTCATGATTGTGATTCTTTCTTTATTCAGATTAATGTTGTACAATTTTAAATTATGAACATATATGAAATATAGGTAAATTAAAAAAATAGAGTTGCACTGGATGACTATGTTCTTTACTTAAATGTCCCATTGTGAAGAATTCTAATTTTCTGCAAGGATCAAAGATATTTCTTAAAAATAGGAGTGGCCATGCACTCAATGTTAAAAATGTGCTTCATATATCACACTGAAGCAAAAATAATAAAAAGGATGCTGTATCTTATCAATAATTTGAATGTCATTGTTGATTAGCAGCATAATTAATAGTATCACTCGAGGATACGCTTAATGCTTTCTGCGGGTCCAACTACTCCCCTTTCCAAGGGGGAAAAAAAAGCAAATACACTGCCCATTCTTTAAGAAATCAGTCTGCAATTTTCATGTTCCCATCTTGCACAGAGATATCTTCTCAATAGCACAAAGGTTCCTGAAAGTAATTGATCTATATCCCATTTTAGCCAAATGTTTCTTTCCAGAAATGTAAGCAATTTCTCTTCCATTTCTAGAATCAATTATAAAATTATCATTGTATGCTCTCCATATACGTAGTTTGAGGAGATTAATAAGGACTTTCAAAAAACTGTGCCTCATTGTCCAAACAACTACAGTACTTTGCCATTAGAGTGCTGATGGCAACTGCAGACAGGATTGTATTCAGGATGGGGCTACAGAGAAACAAAAGTGAGATTTGAGAGTACTCAGTTGGTTTTTATTGGTTTTGTATGTGTTTTGCTTTGAAAACAAATGAACAAACCATTAAACGCACATGCGCACAAGCGCAATGAGGCCGAAGCATGGACTGTGGTCTGTCAGCTGGAAAATTAAAATGGGAAATGGGGAGGGACAGAGGGAATGAGATGCCAGAGGAATATATGCCTGGCTGGCTGTGGGAATATAAGAACTCATACTGCATGTTGAAAATTTAACAGTGGGACATGTGACAAAATATTAGTGCATCTCCATTTTACAAGTTCAAGCAATAGTGAAAATCTGTAGGAAGTCTTGTCTTAATGGCAGATAGTGCTGGTTCTGATATGACAGAAAATCGTGGTTCCCTGCATTGCAAATAAGACATAATCAATCTTGATCTCACTGTTCCCTTTTCAAATGAATGAGTTATAAAGCTTCTGTTTCTGCTTTTATACTAACCAAATTCTAGAACAGTGGTTTGTTTCAACTATGATTAGCGAAAACAATCTAGGATCAAATAATGGTTTCTCTTATGACTGATCCAGGCTATAAACATACCAAGCATGCTCCGTGAATTCCCCAAGAACCATTCCCAATTCCTCATATGCAACAAAGCCAATAGACCTTAAGATGCCAGATCTCTTAAACTGAGAAGCTTTGTATTTTGCAGTAGTATCAAAATAAAAACAAACAAGCAATGTTTCACAACAATTATTTTGGGCAAAATGTTTTAGCACTTAAAACCTTAGCATGCCATCACTGTATTTTACTAACTTTGCATCTAACTTTGCATGAAAAGAACACTCTGCACAATTCAAGTATCATGAAAATAATATCTTTAATATACAGTAATATACTTACAGTACACCATTGACATTTGTTCATATACACTATATTGTTATTTATTTGCTCTTGGTTTAAATAAATGTTCCTTATCCCTAAATGTATAAAGAGATACTCAAACCAGCACAGACTTTCACAAAGACACAGTTAAGTATAACAGTGGAATATATTCACTGAACCAATATTCTGCCACCCCATCCCACAAAAATCTATCTGTTTGACATATGTGGAATCCAAACCAAATCAAACCTGTATCTGAAATTTTGCCACTTGTTTTATACTAGACCCAATCAATTTTTTTACATTTAAGAATCACACTACCTTGACATGTCTAAAAAGCTGTGTGTCCTAGATATTAGTGAGGCTGCATATCCCCTCAGCTTCCAAAATATAAAAATGGATCTAGAAATGAAAAAGATATGTCATTTCTTTCTTGGTAGTGTCGTCTATTCCATTTAAACCTGATTAGACAGTATGCCTGAATCTGAGCAAGGCTAAATGGGTGGTGGTGATGTATTAAGCCCCCTCCTCTATATTCTTATCCCACCCAGAAATCAGGAAGACTTTCACATGTTTAATGCAAAGATGCCTATAAGGACATTCAGCTGAACACATGTATAATACCTCTGCCATGTCTTATTAGGGCTTCCAGTCACTAGACTGTGGGCGCTGCATTCAAACAAATACAGTCAGCTAGCCCAGTGGTTCTTAACCATGGGTTACTCAGGTGTTTTTGGACTGCAACTCCCAGAAGCCTTCACCACCAGCTGTGCTGGCTGGGGTTTCTGGGAGTTACAGTTCAAAAACACCTGAGTAACCCAAAGTTAAGAACCACTGAGCTAGCCTACAGACCTGACCTTTAAACACATAAGTTTTGTTGACTTTTGGATGAAATGGGAATGTAAGGAATACGGCATAGGCAGGCACCTGTGTCTCCACTCCTTGTTCAGCCTTACACAGACTAAGGCGTAATGCTGGAATATGGCTATAGCCTTGCCTTCTAAATGAATGTTTTTAACTAAAAGGTTATCCCAGGCTATGAAAAATAAACTATTAAGCTTTTACTCCCACAGAAAGTAGACACTAAATTGTTACACGTTTTCTGAACATTTTTTTGGCCAGTATTTCACAAGGAACTGGACTGGACTGATGCCACCAACACCTTCTCTGGCATCGAATTTCAACTAGTTTGTCATCTTAAATTGTGATCTGCCCACTTCTAGATTCACAGAAGCCACATACAGTTAAATATCCATAGAACCATTTCTCGAACTCTGTGTCCCAAGCCTTTTAAAATATTTTTAGCTGGTGTGGTTAAGGCACAAGGTTTTTTTTTTCATGGTCAAGACTTTCACAATCCAACGATGTCTGAACAATTTAATATTGTGACATGCTGCTGCTGATGTGGCTCAAGAGACACATGACTCCACATCTTTCAGGAATGTTGCCAAGTGCCCTAGTTTGTTTGGCCAATTCAGCTGTACTCTCTACTGTATATAAACAAAATTTTTGTATTAATATACTTGGGGGGGGATGGGGAATTTTTCTGAAAACCTCCTTGAATGTATGTACCTTAGAAGCCCAAGCTCATCCTAATGAAACCTGGGATTATGAAATCAAAATATATAACACTACTAAAATATGTTTATGACAAAGTAAAATAAAATCTAGCTTAACCCACAACTTCTTAACGGCAAACAATTTGGAAAAGTGCATTCTTTTCAATTACATAAGCAAGCAATCTCTTTTAGCTCAATGTTGCCTCTAGGCCATAGGCATGGTTACTTGGAAAAAAATGTCCCACTCAGCTGAGTGTCATCACTGTATCCCAAGTTAAGGTGCACAGGAGATGCACTGAACTCACTTGGACTTATATCTGAGTAATTATGCTTGGAAATGCACTATAAATCTCTAAAAGAAATGGAACACAGTGCATCACAACAGAGAACTTTGACGAATCACAGGCAGCTTAAGAGTAGATGTTACAGACTATAATATATATATAGCTCCTTTCTCCTTTGTTCACTCTTCTTAAAAGAAACTTACTTGAAATTTTGTTGTGGGGTAGAAATATATAAAGGACTATTTTGCTGCACGCAAAGCAGTTTTGCAGTAAGATTATTGAAAACAGTAGTTTTATTGCACTGTTCCTAAAAAGAAATTGCTACAGATTCTGTTTTCACTTAGCACTTTGCTTTCAATTAGTTATGCAACATATATAAGACAGCAGACTTAAAATGGGAAACTTTTAAAACATTATACAGGAGCCAGTAAAACTGACCTTGAGAGCCCTATCATATGAGGAAGGTATTTGCGATAGCCCCTATTCTGTGTTTCAGCTAAAATTCTTACTTTACCTGGAGAAAGAAGATGGGCAGCAGGAATGCTATCTGCATTCTGTGGTTTTGAATGTTATTTGCATAGATTGCATCATGGGAAACATACTGGTACTTTAGGCCAGTCTTTAACCTCTGATCCTATAAGAGGTCATGTCTCAGGATGCATTAGGGGGTGAAAATAAGTTGAGAAGGAGTAGACTTCTTAAATCCAGTCTAAAGAAGAATGGTGTATAGAGTGTAAGGATAGAACAGACGATGATAGGTCTTGAAATGTGGAAATGAGAAATAGAGTTCACACTTCCACTCCATACGTGGAGAGGCTCTTGAGGAGATTGTGGGCTAGCCCTAGAAGAATGCCCGGTGGATATCTGCGAGAATGTGTTCTTTGCATTGTTATGACTTGAGCAGCTGGAGGTGATGCTGCACAGTTATGAACATGGATGGGTCTAGCCCACACAACCTCTGCACTTTCTTGCAACCAAATTCACCATGCCTTCTGTAAGAACAAGAGAAAGGGAGACTGTAGCATATACCACATGCCTACATACAGAATTAGCGTGCATGTGGGGCTGGATGGACAGTAGGTTATTAGCCCTGGTACTTTCTAAGCACTAAACAAAGAAACAAACAAACACCTGCACATTGTCTCTAGTACCTGATTTCCTCAAACATGAAGAACCCTAAGACAGTGACGCATAAGACAACATACATACACATAACAGTCAACTAGCTTTGAAGCAGAAGAATTTTGCCACACTGGGCTTTTGAATTGAATGGTTTGATTTCCAAATGAAGTGTCAGTTAAGTTTGTTGTCGGTATGTGCCATCAAGTCAGAACTGAATTATAGAGATCCTAACAGGGCTTTCAAGGTAAGCGAGATACTCAAGGAATGGCTTCACTAGTTCCACACCCCCAGTGAATTTCCGTTGTGGAACAGGGATTCAAGCCCCGGCCTTCTGAGTCCTAGTCTGTCACACTATCCACTACACCACACTGGATTACAAAT